GTCCGCGTCAGGCGTGCCCTCCGCCAAGCGTGCGTCTGCGTCAGGTGTGCCCTCCGCCAAGGGTGCAGCCTGGTCAGGTGTTTCTTCAGCTGTTCCTTCTGCCAAACACACAATTTGGTTAATGTTTTCCTTCTGCTAAATATTATTCTTCTCTTTACCTGGCAAACTTCTCATTCTGCATGCTTTCCTTAAATACTACCTAACTTTTCTCTTCTCCTTTGTTTTTTTTTTTTGTTTTTGTTTTTGTTTTTGTTTTTGTTGTTGTTGTTGTTGTTTTTTGAGACAGAGTCTCGCTCTGTCGCCCAGGCTGGAGTGCAGTGGCATGATCTCAGCTCACTGCAACCTCCGTCTCCCGGGTTCAAGCAATTCTCCTACCTCAGCCTCCCAAGTTGCTGGGATTACAGTGGCACAACACCACGTCTGGCTAATTTTTCCTATTGAGTAGAGACTGGGTTTCACCATGTTAGTCAGGGTGGTCACAAACTCCTAATTTCAAGCAATCCATCAGCCTTGACCTCCCAAAGTGCTAGGATTACAGGAGTGAGCCATTGTGTCTTGACACTACCAAACTTTTCAAAGCTTTAATTCTTCACCTTGCACATAAAATGTCTGACACATAATGAATATGGTAACGACATAAGTGATAATTATAAGCTCCCAAAGGGATTCTGGCACAAAGTAAGCACTAAATAAAGTAGTAAATAATTTTTAAAAGATGATAATAAAAAGAAAAATGTTTAGTACCTTAATAAAGTAGTAAATAATTAAAAAGATGACAATGATAATAACAAGGAAGATGCTTAGTACTTTAAAGCTACCTGACAGCTATTTGTTAAGCTGACAAGTGGATAAGTGGATAAAAAGCATTTTTTGGAAACTCTATTGAAAAAAATGCATAAATTCAATAGGGACAGCTCTACTTTATTATGAGCACCTTAAGACCTAAATTATTTGTATTCCATCTTTGTCTCCTGTAACTTGCAAAACCTAACTTATAAAAGTCCTTCGATATAATAAATTAAAGATGTGCTCAGTTTGTATTGTACAATGCATTGTGTCACATTTAGGTATCACAGTAGCATTTTTGATATTGTGAAATTTTGTGTACTTTTATTATAATTTGTTGAGCCTAGAGTTATCTATTTGAATATTTATAATGATAATATTCTGACTAGTAGGAACAGAGTATCTTGTAACAAAATTACTATTAACACGCTAATCATACAGCAGATAGAACAACTCATCTTGTTCTAATGAAGTAAATATATATGATTTGGTTTCAAGTTAGAGGGAATGAAGTTGATAATAGTGAGGCCTTGTTGGTACAAGGCTATGTAACATACCCTGCACTTCACAAAAAAGAATTGCTTTTCTGACTTCTGCATTCAGTAGTAGGAGATTATTTTTCAAATATTTGTACTGATGCACCCTAAGTTTTGTAATTCTTTTTGACATTTGTTTATGGTGCCAGAAGAGTATTATTGAGTTCCAAATTCTAGAGATAGTTACTTTTTTTGTGACACAAGTCACTATGTCACATAGTTGATCCTTTCACTGTAGGATCCCAGCAACAGACAGATTTTTCTTGTTCTTGGCCACTGCAAGATACCAAGACAAATCCCTCCTATGCCCACTCTTTATCAGCTTGCTCAACATGAAAGCAATGAGAATGAAGACCTTTATGTATAATAATTCACTTCCACTTAATAAATAGTGAATATATTTTTCCTCTTTGTAGCAGTGTATTTTCTCCAGCTCACTTTATTGTAAGAATACAGTATATAGCACATATAAAATATAAGCTATGTGTTAATTGACTGTTTATGCTTTCAGTGAGGCTCCAGGTCAATAGACTATTACTAGAGTTTTGGGGGAGTCAAAATAAACAGATTTTCATATAAAGCAGATTTTCAGCTGCATGAGGAATCAGCACCTTAACTCTCATGTTTCTTAAGACTCAACTGTAACTAATTATCATTTACTAAATGCAACCATTTATTATAAAAATTAAATAGAGCTCAGAAGTTCAAGACATTCCTAGGCAACATAAGGAGACCCTTCTTTACAATAAATAAATAAATAAATAAACAAATAAATATCCATGTTTCTTTATAAGGTATAATATTCAAATGTTATAGTTTTCTGTTGTTAATTCTGGCTATTTATTATTATTAGTTCTATTATTTGTGGCTTGTAATTCAGGGCATTGAAGCTATTTTATAATTTGGAATAAAATTTATTTATAATATTTTAATTCATTAAATTGGATATCCTGATTATCCCCTATTACTGAGTTCACCAGTCATACTGAGTGTTATACATTTTATAACAAGCCTAAGTTGTTACGACAATTGAGGAAACACAATATATGAACTTATAAATTCTTTTACTTATTTATACAAAAGTATTATATAGGATTTTAGGGCCATAATTAAACAAATATTTTTTCAGGTAATATTTTTTGAGATTATAAACTACCTACAACTATATTCTTAACTAATTATGAATTATGAACTAAAAAATTAAACCAAAGCTCTATATATGTATGTATGCATACACACACATATGTATGTATGTAAACACATGCTATTTACACATTTATTTTTTAATTGCTCTTTTGTGATCAAAACTTCCATAATCTTATGGTGGTACCACCAAGAGTAGTTTAATATCAGAAGTCTTACCTGGATTGCTATTTTGAAGATATTTAGATGTCTTTTTTTTATATTCCAAAAGTTGTTGAAGAATGCTATGTATAAAAAATATAATACATAAAATAACAATTTTAACACTGATATTAAAAAACATTTACCACATTAAGTTCTTAGAGTATTTCAGAAAATATCAGGGCTAACGTCAGAACATGACTTATTCCATAGGCTTTAGGTTTGTAAGGCCTATGAAATTATTAAGCTTCAAATACAAGAAGAAACAAAGATAAATTCTCATGAATTGAGGACAGTATAATTTAGTCAATTAACTAGAGTTAGCTTGGCATAATGGAAAATGTCCTTAACTCAGAAGAGGTTCTAGTGCAGTAACCAACAGGTATTTTTTCTTGAAAAAGTTGCTTCTCTTAGGCTCAATGTCTTCTGAAAATGAGAATTTTAGAGTCTTTTTATACTAGGTTATTATAAAGATTTAACAAGATAACAGTTTTAAAGCACTCAAAGAAATAGTGAAGCAATGAAATAATTTCTTCTTAAACCTTATTGCTGAAACTATTTTAAAATTCCCAGTAAAACCCATTGTGTTGGCCTGGTGCAGTGGCTCATGCTTGTGATGCAAGCACTTTGGGATGCTGGGACAGGAGAATTCCTTGAGCCCAGAAGTTCAATACTAGCCTGGACAACATAGGAAGACCCCTGTCTCTACAAAAGTAATTTAAAAAAAAAAAAATAGAGTCTTCATAGGTTATAACATCAAAATATTGCAGTTTTCTGTTATTAATTCCTACTTTTGATTATTAGATGTTCTATTTTTTGTGGCTTGTAATTCAGGACATCTAAGCTATTTTATAATTTGTAATAAAATTTATTAATAAATATATTAATTCATTAATTGGATAATCTGATTTTCCTATATTACTGAGCTCATCAGTCACATCATGGGCAGAAAACTAATATATGTCAGCAACTGACTTGGACTACTACTACACTTTATCTACCTCCTTAAACTCTGAGCCAACAAATCTTTGTTAGAATGATGCTTGGTCACTACGCTAATTTCCAGCTGCTGTGGAAGACAAAATGCTACCTTTATTTTTTGCAAGTTCCACAAATAAGATGCAAGTTGGTAGTTTCTCATTTATGAGATGCCTACTAACAACATATTGCACAGAAGTTCCTATGTATCACTCACCAATATTTCATTTTATAGATCACCTTACATAAATTTTTTTGTATGAAAATCACCATTGCAATACTGGGCGTCACCCACTGTGCTTTGACTGACACCACTTCCCTGGAGCTAGTTAGAAAGTAGTCAAATGTCCTTTGGGGACTGCAAGAAATATGCAACACTTCACAGATTTGTGTGTCATCCTCATACAGGGACCATGCTGATCTTCTCGACGTTGTTTCAATTTTAGTATATGTACCAGTGAAGCCAGCACAAATCTCTAATTTTGTATGTGAAGACTGATCAGTCGTAAATGAAGTAAGTTACATCTATGAAGATTTAAATCAATGAAGTTGGTTAAATCTAACCAACTTACTTGAGATTTATTGAATGGCTTCATAGTGATGCATAATTTGAAAATATTTTAAAAACTTGAGATAGAGATGCAACTAGCATGGGATATTTTTCTTTCAGAAAAAAAGAATCACTTGAGGGGAAACCCACAAGTTGGAACCCACTACAACTGGGGAAAGATGACATGGAATCTTCCAGAACAAGATGAGACCTTCCTCCACTACCTACTAAATGGTGCTACACAGGATATAAAAGGCCAAAGATATAGATCTGGTAATAATAATTAAATGGACCGCTAATTTCTTCCTACATTTCAACCTGACTTACAGTTTCAAACTATCACAACTAGAAAAAAAGCCACTCAAAGGATTACGTACCATGAAGGTCTAGGCCAAGTCCAAGCTAAGATGTGGGTTTCACATCAGGTTTTGAGTGTGAGAACAAGGGTCAATTTGATCACTATGTGTGTGGCTAAAGCTAAAAGTCCTAGCTGCCAGAGCAGGGTGCTGGTACTTTGGAAACAATGGCTGAGAATATGTATGCAAACTTAAAAAAAATGCAATAACTTTGAAGCCTATATATGGATCACCATGAAGACTGAGGGATCTGTATTAGTAAGGGCATCCTGATCACAAAAGTCAATCATTTTCAGACTGCAGAAGCTGTTTCAATGACAACAATGCAACAACAGAATCAATGGAAACAACAAAATGAAGAAAATGGCCATTTCCCCCAAGTCCTTCTGACATGTACAAAAGGAGTGTCTTCATTGGACTTAGGAAACCCCTTAAATTCTTTAAAAAAATTCAAGGGTGAAGGTATGAAAGACAGCCCCCAGGGGACACTATCAGGAGTTCTGCTAAAGTGGACATTTCAAGACCCAAATAACTAATTAGAAAAATCAAAACTGTGGCACTGTGTTTATCCCCCGCATAAGGGTTTACTTCAAATCAGGCAGCCAGCATTAGGATCCCTGGGAATAAAGTGGTTGAAAATCCTAAAATAAAGAATCCTGGACCCATTACTCCTTCTAACTAGTCTAGCTTTTTGCCCACTTTCTGGCTGATGAAGTGAACTAACTCAATGTCATTCAAAAATTACCTGAAACAAACTATGAATGCTCACCTAGCCTTTAAATATAAACACTTACTTATCAAATCCACAAGCAACAGCGTAACGTTCTGCAGTCATTCCAAACATATCTTCAGCATTGATGTCAACATTTTGCTGAAGAAGGCTGCCGACTATCTCTGATGACCCATGACATACTGCAAGCATGAGGGCTGTGCTAAAATAACAAAGAGATAACTTTATTATTAGGAACAGAACCGTTTTAATATTTGTCTGTCAGTGTAGAATTAACCATTTACGTAATACTAACAAACATAAGTATCTTGAGTGCTCAAGTGTTTATCCTTGTAAATCACCACCAAGACTAAAACGAAGGGGCAAAAAGACTCATGTTCCACTGGGAAATGGCATACTAGAAGTGGCTAACATAAAGTCCTTTGAGGGGCAAGAAAATATGCTCTGTTCACTAATCTAAAAGAGGCACAGATTTAAGTGAAGAATTATCTATTTCTTCCTTAGACTGATTTTGTACTTCAAAATCAGCTAGAAATTAGACAAGTGAGAGCAATCTGAAGGCTTAAAACAATAGTGGGAATAATGATCTTAGTAGCAGTCATGGTAAGTTTAGTTAATGATGCTGATAAGAATGTATGAAACACTGAATTAAATGCTGTTGATATTTATTATGTTAATTCCACACAATCATTCTTAAAGGACATAGTATATTCTCCTTTTCATATAGAAAATCATAGTTGGTACTAAATAATGTCTGCAAGGTCACACCTATCAAGTGAGGAACGTAGAAATTAAACCCAGTCTTGTGTGAATCAAAAGCCTCTCTCTTTTTCTTTATCACTCACCTATGACTTATCTTCATTAACTAAAATGTTAATCCAGTTAAAAATAACTTTCTTCCCTCTACCCATACAAATTAAAAATAAAAATACATTATGAATGAAAAAAGAAAAAATAAATTCACAGTATCTGGTGACAGCAATTTATAGTCATGGAGGGATAACCTAACATAACTATTTTTCAAAGAAAAGAACTTAAAGCAATAGTCATCCTCAAAACAAAATGATTTTAAACTTCTATTTTTGACTACTATTGTTTGTTGTTGTTGTTTTTAGACAGTGTCTCGCTCTGTTTCCCAGGCTGGAATGTGATAGCACAATCTCAGCTCACTGCAAACTTTGCCTCCCAGGTTCCAGGGATTCTCATGCCTCAGCTTATTTAGTAGCTGGGACTACAAGCATGTGCCACCATGCCCAGCTAACTTTCGTATTTTTACTAGAGATGGGTTTTCACCATGTTGGCTAGGCTGGTCTCGAACTCCTTGCCTTAAGTGGTTCACCCACCTTAGCCTCCCAAAGTGCTGGGATAACAGGCGAGAGCTACCGTGCCCAGCAAATATTGCATTTTTAAAGTGTATTTAAAAAAGAGAAGTTAGAAAAATACTATAAAAGTGTTAATCATTCAATATTGAATTATAAACTGAAAAAATTCATACTTCTTTAACATAAAACCACTTTAGCTAATAGAAGATAATGCAACCAAAACATCAGATTACAAATCAGTCAATACAAAAAGAGAAGATAAATCTTACTGTATACTGTTCTTAGTAATGACCAGTCCAAATAACGGCTTTTCTTCCTAACTGATAATTTGTGTTGATATTTTTCACTTAAGCTAATAATTTTAAATAAATGTTATCAATTTAATATTTCTGACTTGATTGCTATCACTCTAGAACACTACTCAAGTGTTTCTAATAAAAAAAAAACTACTATACCATGTACACTTATTAACTGCATTTGCATTTGCGTTTTTTGTCAGTAAAAATTCCACAATTTGCACATTTCTTCTAGTTATGCATAGTAAAAGTGGTGTGAGGCCAGCCTGTAAAACATCAAAAACAATTTATGATTCATGAAATTACGTATTTCTCAGTTGAACTGAATACCTTATATAGTATCCTATGAACTTAAACACATAAAATAGAAAGTAAATCAATAGCAGTCCCTTCTTTCTCCCTTTTCTGTGCTTTCCCATCCACTGCATCTTCCCTTGGAAACATTCAGCCTCTGCATCACCACATTAACTCTGAATATCTCAAAAAAACATTAAATTGTAATGATTTGTTTCCTATCTAAACCAAGAGTTTCTTGAGGGTGTGGGGCTGTATCTTTTATCTCTATAGCCTTAAACACTAAGACATAGTAGTAAAGACTTTGGTTTTTTAAATTAAATTGGTAATCTGAATTATCACTTGTAGAGCAGTGTTTCTTAAACTATATTCCAAAGAATAATTATCTTACCAGAAGCACTGTACCCCAACAGATTTCACCATTACCTATGTTCAAGAAATATTATAAAACTGTGAGTTAAATGTCCATTATTCAAAAAATGACTTGAACTTTGCCTAATCCTTACTTGACAACATATTTTTGTGGCAGACATTAACATTTGACAAATTAGAATTTCAGGGATATGGTTTTGAAAGCTTCCCAAGAGAAATTGAGGTTTCGTCTGGGTGCTACAAACATGCTTGATTCTCTTTTATTAATGATCCCAGGATCTAAGATGCCAATGGCAGGCACTCCTGCTCTAGATGGGTCAATAAGGAAGTGGGCTCCAAATTAAAAGAGATTACTTTCAAATGAAATTTGCTTGTTTATTTTTAAATGGTCCATGGGGCTTCTCCTATTACAAGACAATAATCTTTTATTTCAGGTATTAGAAATTCAGTATAAAAGTTTATTCTCAATTACAATGATAATCCTAGGATCCTAATGCATATCTACTTCTTAAATGCAATAATACATTTTTATTCTGTTTCTATTGTAATTGCTACTTATTTTTGGTAAAATATCAGAAATATGACTAAAATGGCTTATCAGTGAAAGTTCTAACTTACCTACATATATTATCATAAAGAAGCCACTAAATCACTTGAATTTTAACTAACAATTCTAAGGAGAAAGATAATACTTTCTGCAATATGCATAACCTATTCAAATATAATCATGATTAATCTAAAAAGACTTAAAATTGTTCTAATAAAAGATGTTTATTTATGGTTTATGTAAAGAAAAATCATTGTTTAAAAATCTGAATTCTAGAAATTAATCCCATTATTAATGAATTAAGGTAAAATATAAACTATATATTATAAACACCTATCAACTGTCTTCAATACCTTGAAATCTTTACCAAAATATACTATGAGAGAGAAATTGATAACTAAGAGATATTTACATAGGCAAAAGAGGTAACTTGAGTAAGTGATATACCTAGCAGGGCACAGTAGCAAACTGGAAAACATATGCTTTGAAACGTAGAACCTCTTCATAGAGTACCAAACAGTCATATGGGCTCAAGAGACATCAGATTCTATCCTTTAAGAGGAAATCTAGATATCTGCACGTCTCCTAAATTTAACATGTTGACAACATTTATCCAGGCAAATTTTGCTTTCCTGTAGTTTTACACTAATTGAAAAGAAAAAAAAGAACTTGGGTGGGAAAGAATATTTGAAAAACATTTACTGTTAACAAAATCAAATAGTTAAAATAAATGCACAAAAAAGCCATACTCTGTGATAGTTCTTGTAAAAATATTAATACTTATAATAAAATGAAAGACAATTCAGTTTGTTCAAACTATTTTCATTCAAGCAATGTTTCAACTTTTAAATATAAAAACACATATGTTAATGTTAAAACAAGTGGATCTCAAACATTTTGAAAATAACATTGATTGGTTAATGTCTACCTTGTTTTCCACTTCAGTGTCTGCACCACGGGACAGCAGTTTTGCCACCATTGACAAACTCTCAATATAAACAGCATAGTGGAGAGCCGTGTTGCCATACACATCTATGATAGTTGGATCAGCACCAGCATCTATCAGAATGTTTGCACAAGCTTCCCTCCGGCATTGTAGAGCCTGTTAGTATTAAAGCAAGAAGAAAATTTTAAATTATAGGAAATCAAAATAAATATTTCTCCGGTTTCACAAACTAGCTGTATTTCAATGAGATAAGTCCATTTTCATTCTATGTATTTCAACCAAATCCATCTCCTGCCGAAAGCACTGGCTACTATTTACCTTCATCAGAGGTGTCCTGTTTTCGCCGTCACAGACGTCAAGGTGGCATTTTCTGTCTACCAGTAAAATTACCACTTTCTCATGGCCGTAGGCACAGGCTAAGTGTAGCGCAGTCCTATGAGAGTGAGAGGACCTTTTAGGAAATTTTAGTCCACTGTCTCAAAACATACAATGATTTATGTAACTGTAAACATTAAATATCATGCTCTTTCTCTGCCTTCAAAACAAATATTCAATGTTCTCCTGAAGAAAATACCACTTCCATTTGCTCTTATTCCTCACTACATTAATGAAAGAGTGGACTATTTGAACAGAAAGAGCTTGGCCTTTGGATTCATTTCAACTTGGGCTTGGATATTATGTTAAGGTCTTTCTCTTACTGGATATCATGTAGCCTTTCTGTTCCTCAATTTTCTCATCAATAAAGTAAAGATGAATATAGTAGTTATCTCACAGGACATAATTGTGATGCCTCAATGAGAATCTGTGCAAAGTATGTTGAAGAGTTCCTAGCACATGTAACAGCTCAGTAATGTTAGATATTATAATTATTACTGCTACTTATCAAAGACAACATTTTAAGTAAAATGGTGCAATTATGCCTATTTTGTGGCGTGTTTTAAAGGTTAGAGGTAACACTGTATTTTAATGCTTATAAGATGAACAATTTCTCATATTTTAGCATCTCTGATATTGAAATGCCACTTATAAGTCATTATTTATTACAACTGTATATTGTAGCAATTTAAACAATCTTTTATTGGTACATAAAATAAGGATGCATCACACAATTCACGGTACCTTCCATGAAGTGGGATATGGTATGTACAACAAGACAGTGGAAGTCCAAGTCACAGGATTAACACTTAAAGAAATTTTAGCTTGTAAGAATACTACACAAAAGTAGAGTTGAAATAAAAACAACAAATTGTTAAAGTACTTATTTAATATTTTAAAAACTTCAAGCCAAAGAACACTTGGGATTCAAATGAGTAACTATGGCACATTTTATTTTGTATTTAGATTTACAAAATGTATGTTAATTCATATTTAGATTTATAGGATGCCTGTAGATTAGATATTTTCAATGATTAATATTACTATTTAAAACTGTTATAAATTTCCAAAATTGCAGTTGATAGTTATCTTTCACCAGTTTCTCACTTCAGAAGTGTTTTTGTTTGAAAGATGAGAGGAAAAGCTTCAATTGAGGGTGAGTCCTAATACTCCAATTTTAAATCTCTCACTTTGCCCAGGCTGAGCAAGTAAATATGAAATGTTTAAGGGTGAAAGTGTCTTCTAAGTTATTAGAATGTGTCTTCTACATAATAGGCATTCAGCTTACGTGTGATAAATTGATTAAAACAATGATAAATACAATTGGGAAGTTCAATATCTTAAAGAACCCATTCCTCACATCCTTATACAAAAATTAACTCCAGATGTAGTAAAGATTTAAATGTAAGAACACCATAAAAACCCTAGAAGAAAACCTAGGCAACATCATTCAGGACATAGGCATAGGCAAGAACTTCATGACTAAAACACCAAAAGCAATGGCAACAAAAGCCAAAATACACAAATGGGATCTAATTAAACTTAAGAGTTTCTGCACAGCAAAAGAAACACTCATTAGAGTGAACTGGCAACCAACAGAATGGGAAAAAATGTTTGCAAACCACCCATTTGACAAAGGCCTATTATCCAGAATCTACAAAGAACTACAGCAGATGTACAAGAAAAAACAAACAAACTCATTCAAAAGTGGACAAAGGATATGAACAGACACTTTTCTTTTTCTTTCTTTTTTTTTTTTTTTTGGAGTCCAAGTCTATTTATTGCAATATTATTTATAATAATAAGAAACCTGGAAATAATCTAAATATCCCACAATAGGGTAGTGGTTAAATAAATTATAGTATAAAGTGCAGATACACAAAACTATGGTTATCTCCAGGAGGTTATATTATGGGCAGTTTAAAATTTTTTTTCCCCATTTATTTTATTGCATTTTAGGTTTTGGGGTACATGTGAAGAACGTGCAAAATTGTTGCATAGGTACACACGTGGCAGTGTGATTTGCTGCCTTCCTCCCCATCACCTA